GTGCTGCGAAAAAAGATGCTGGAAGTTTCTACTTTTTTTTTTTTTTTTTTTTTTTTTGGAAAATGATGTTACATTGCATGCTACAGTAAAAAAAAAAAAAAAAAAAAAAAAAAAAAAATCAACAGATATTGAGGCATTTAAGAAAAGAGCGAAAAGTACTCTTCACATTTTGGTCTTTACCTGTTGAGACAATTATATAACTGTTGTTATTGACACTTGTCACTTAACTCTCCACCCCAACCATTTTATCCCTCCTCCCTCCTTTGGTTTGTCAGTATTAAAAACCTTGCCCTCGACAGGACTAACACAAAGATTTTCTGTAGCAAAACGTTTCCAGTAAGAGGATTTGGTAAAACCCATTATCTGAGCTAAGAAATTCATCATGGGGAAAAGCAAGCGAATGGCATTATTATTATTTTATTTTAATGAAATGAATCTTTGTTTCTCCTTTGATATCTTACAACCAATATGAGTGATGATGAGGATACGGATGCCCTGTCTGTTCCTTTACCAGACTCTCCTGTATTCGAAGAAAGGCAGACGCGGGTATTAGAGTGTGTCTAAATGCTCTCTCTCTTTATCTATGTATATAACATGTATGCATTGATGAACTAGATTATCTTATCACTATTCACCGATCTACACAAAAAGAGTTGCCACTGACCTTTATGCTTGTCCTTCCAAGTTTCACTGCCATTCCTAAGCGCCCTCTAAAAAGTGCAATGAAGAGAACAGATGTCTAAGTGTCAGGGGCAGGATGATGGGCGGGAGGAAGGGATGGGCGTGGTTTTGCCAACATTAAATACTGTTACCTGATCACCACACGTCCCTTGACCAATTTTTACTGTGATTAAAGCTGGAAGTTTCATAGACATTATAATGAAGTACAATCTGGGTCACTTAACGAAAAGGAGTCTTTGTCATGTTAAGCTATTGGCAGGAGCTAGGAAACGAATAATCCGAAGCTAGAAGGGACTGTATTATTGGTATGAAGACCCTTAGCAATTACATTATATTGCTTTATACATCGAAAATTGCGATACTGTAAAATTCTTTGCCATAGCTGCCAAAGACACACCAGGCACAGGAGGAAACACATGACAGGCTCTATTTTTCTTTGTTCATTTAGGTTTAAATGCCTAATAATGTTCTTTTACGGCTCACTGAATACTGTGTAGAATGACGGAATAATGAACTCGTCCCATTGAGTTCCATCTGAGAACATTCGGACGAAAAACGTTTCTAGTTATAAAGATCGAAAACCTTTCTTGTTAGCGGGAGGAAAGTGAATGGAAATGGTACTAGGATGGACAAGCATAAAACTTCATCATCATATTCATTCTTGCAGCCATTCTTTTGATAAGCACATCTCAACAGATGTGCAGTTAGCTATGATCAAGTATTTACTGTGTGGACCACTCATTTTATCTAATGCTCACCGAATTTAGAAAAGTAAATTGTACTCCAAGACAAAAATTTAAAAAAATAATAAAAAATAGAAATAAGAATAAAAATAAAAATGAAATAAATAAAAATGAACATAAAAAATGAATAATAAAAATAATAAACAAATTACATTATTAAAAAAGATGATTTAATGTTGAAGGAAATTCAGAAATAGAAGGCAAGAGAGGGATAAGAGAAATGAGGGTCATCTACAACACGTAAATCCAAGGCACGCCCCTTTTATGTTACCCGCAGCCCGCCCTTTGGCGATCAATAGGGAAACATAAGAATTGCACCTTGTTCTACAATAGCTATCAAAGCGGACTTTCCCTCTGAGGAGCCTCATAGAAGGGCCATGGGAGGGAGGAAGGGCATTAGTAGAAGTGCGACCCATAGGGGGAGGAAGGGGCATGGGCGGGAGGCAAGGCCATGGGCGGGGAATTGGGGTGTTGAGGGCGTGGTGGGGCAACAAGAGGTTTAACTTGATTATGATCTGATCCTGTGGTTTCCTGATTATTCTGTGACTGAAGCTGAAAGTGGTTATTCCTAAACTGGTCATTTTGCTTTAGAAATAGAAGACATAAAGGAGACAAGTTAACAGACAGATATGCCTCGACTATGCGGTAGGTTGCGCTCATTTTGCATTTGCAGAAAGATTATTCGGATGGACGTCCGAGGCACAAATGGCATATCTTGGACTTAGTGGTTTGTGTAATTTAGTAAGCACTGAATAGCATTTTTAAAAATTTGGTTGTAATTAGGATTATCATATGAATTGATATGACTCACTGAACAAGACAGATAGTATTGAATATTAGCTTACCCTCCGCCATTAGCCTTGATAGTGATTGGAAGTTTAAGAACTCTCGACTTTCATTTGATCCAATCCGCTTTCAACAATTCTACGCGACTGAAGGTTTATTTCAGTTATAAAATGTAGGAACTGAAAATTGTTGAAAAGCGTTCGTTCTTTCAGCTTCTTCTCCTCCCCACTCCTAATTTGACATTTCATTTGTTAGAAATTGTCAAAACAAACAATATTTACAGCCATTAATGACGCCAACGCATGGAAATGAGGTCAAACGCTGGTAAAACATTCAGGTGACCGACGAGAACGATTTTCGTGTGCCCTGAAAGTCATTGGCATTCGGATTTAATTCTCGTGACTTAATTGCTTCTGATAATTTCTTTGATACATCATCTTGTAATAATAGCTCTTAATACGCAGTAATACATCCTAAAAAATTTCATCAAAGGAAATGGTTATGATCTAATATTCTTCCCGTATATGTGATACTGAATCACACGCATGTATTTATATGAACATATGTATGTATACGTAGAATACATACACTCATATATATCGTGTTCAACATGTTAAACAATACTTGCTTGTAATTTGGCATTATTTCTTTGCCATTTTGCTTAGGATAGTTTACGAATTATGAAAGCAAATCAAATTTCGTATTTCCTTTTATTGTAGACTGTACAGTATTCACAGGGCTTTTTTTTAGGTTCACCTTGGCAAAGCGATAAAGAGGCTATTCCCTCCGTAGAAAAACTATCCATTATATATCACACCTCCGACGTCCAAATCAGACTCCTGCAAATCTGCTTCAGAAACGGGAGAATCTGGCAATGCGAAGGAGCCAAAGTCCCCGCTAGAATCGCTGGCAACTTCATCGCACAACTCGACGTCGACGTGATCACCTTCGGCAGGAGAAGCAGGGGCAAGACGGGCGCGTCGGTTCTGGTGAGTCTTGACGTGCTTGTTGTAGTGGTCGGATCGCATGAAACGTTTTCCGCACTCGCCACACTGGAAACGTTTTTCGCCCGTGTGCGTTCTGAGGTGACGCTGGAGTTCATCGGAGCGAGTGAACGCCTTGTCGCAGTACATCCACTGACACACGAAAGGCCGCTCTCCGCTGTGTGAAAGCAGATGTGCCTTCAGGTGGGACGTCTTGGCATACAGCTTGCCACATCCCGGAACATGGCAGATGTGTTCCCTTTTCTTGCCGCCTGTACTGCTTCGTGAGGCGTCCTGGCAGTTGGGGCAGCGGCATCGTCGACAGCGACGACCACCGACTGACGTGCTGACGAGAGCAGAAGCGATGCGCCTTCGCTGCTGAAGGATGGTGTCCTGTGCGAAGGCGTTGGGTTGCTGTGGAATGAGGGTTGGGTTGCCTTGGCCCAGCAAGGTCCGGCGTGCTGCTGATAAAGGTGGAATGGATAATCGTAAGTGGCGTGAGAAGTGGGCGTGTTATAAGCACTTGCACTCCACCAGGGCGATGTGTGCGATTCCCTCGGGGGCGTGAGGGGTTTCTCGGGCGGAGGAGAGAGCGTGGGCGGTGTGATAGCGTTGGCAGGGCGCTGTAGTGGTGCTGCAGGTACGGATAGGGAAGCTCCCGACGCCGCCGTACAAGTTAGGCGGCGAGACGTTGGCAAGTTGTCCACGGACGTGAGGGAGAGTCGTGGTGGGAGTCTGTTGATGGAAAGGACCGAATGCATTTCTGGCGTGACCGTTGCTGTAGTATAATCCATGGCTGTTCCCTCAACTGTGCCACAAGAACATCTCAGTGCCGTTGGTTCCGCAAGGAGCAAGTGGGAAGCGGAGAGTGAGGTGGACCTTACCTGCGAGCAGTGATATACCTGTCCTGGGAATGCGGGTTCTCCTCTCGGCCGTCTGTCACGTACTGCCATTGTACCGCAATGTATTTTATTTATGAGCTGGGTTGATCTTCGTATAATTTTCTTAGTCCTGTATGTTTCTAATAAGTATACAAATAAAGGTAGATATATAATACAAATATGTGTTTATATATATAAATATATATGTTATAATATATATATATATATATATATATATATATATATATATATAACACATGTTTGTATAAACATAAATAGATAGATACGTAGGTTGGTATTTAGACGCTATACATGCACAGAATCCCTTATGACTTATTCAGAATACCATCGATTAATTTGTCATCACTCTCAGGAATACTATCATTTCTAAAATTACATTATTTGAGTATTTTTTGACAATGGTAAGAAAAAGCTGTATTGTACCGGACATTCTTAGTCTCCCTACACGTCACCGAAATGAGAAGGATTTCAAAAGACTAAGCTACAAATTATATTTCATCAAAGAATCATTTATAGAAGCGCTGGAAGAAGGAAGGAGGAAGTGTAATGGGAAAAGGAATAAGAGGAAGGACGGTCATTCCGAACTCGTAATCCGAGGACACTTCACTTTCATGTTCTCCGAAGTCCGCCCTTTGCCCCTCCTCCCGCCTCTCCTCCTCCTCCTCCCCGCCTCTCCTCTTCTTCCTCCTCTCCTCTTCTTCCTCCTCTTTCTCCTCTTCTCCCTGCCTCTCACCCACTCTTCTTCCTCCTACTCCTCTCCTCCCCTTTCTATCATCACAGCTCTTTCTCTATTCCTTCCATACAAGTTTGATTTTTATATTTATTTCATCTTTTATCCTCTTCCGTCATTTCCTCTTTATCCCCCCCTTATCATATCTCCTTTATTCCTCATATACTTCTTGCTTCTTCATCTTCTCTCTTTGATTTCTCTTCTCAACCATTTTCTCCTCTTCTTCGTCATTTTCATTTTTTCCTGGTCTATTTTCATCATTTTCTCTTTATTCCCATTATCTTTATTTTCTCTTCTTTGTTCACTATCATTCCAAGGGGGTAGTTGGAGGAGAAAAAGGAGGCAGGAGGAAGAGAGAAAAGGAGAAGGCGGAGGAGGAGGAGAAGGTGGGGAAGGAGAGAGGAGGAAGGAGAAGGGGGAGAAGGAGAGGGGGGAGGAGGAGGGAGGAGGAGGAGGAGGCGGAGAAAGGGGAAAGGAGGGGGAGGAGCAGAGGAGGAGGAGTAGGTGGGGGAAAAGGAGACAGGAGAGGAGGAGGAGGCCAGAGGAGGTAGGAGGAGGGGAGGAGGAGAGAGGAGGAGGAGGAGGCGGAGGAGAAGGAGAGAGGAAGAGGGGAGGAGGGGGAGAAGGAGAGAGGAGGAGGAGAAAGAGAGAAGAGGAGAGGAAGGGGAATTTAGAAGGAGGAAGAGTAGGCGGAGAAGGAGGAGGAGGAGGAAGTGAAGAGGGGAGGAGGAGAGAGATAAGGAGAGAGGAGGAGGATGCGGCGGAGAGGAAAGAGGAGAAAGAGAAGGGAGAAAAGGGGAGGGACCATTCCAGATGGGCCCGTATCCACAAAAGTTCTCAGACGATTCTGAGACAAAAAAAAAAAAAAGTGTCTGAGGAAAAAAAATAGATCGACCGTTTAATTACATCGTTGATCTACGCTTATTTAGTAATTAAATACTCATTAATACATAAAAAATGCAAACATGTTCTCTTTGGCGAAATACTCTCTTGTGCTGGCACGACACACGCAAATCAATCATTACACAAGGAAAACAAAAACAAATATCGATAAAAATGTGAAGATGGCGTTTGCTGAATGTGATATCTATATTATCTATATTCAAATTTATATTCATATCCATACATATATATATATCGTATATCTATATATATATATATATATATATATATATATATATATATATATGTATATATATATATATATATATATATATATATATATATATATATACGTGTGTGTGTGTGTGTGAGTGTGCGTGTGAGTTCACACACACCTACACATATAACCAATTTCATTATCATTATCATTTTAATGACATTATTTTCTATTTTATTTATTCGTTTCATAACAGTATACTGATAAATGTAATCATTGGTATTTGTTATAAAAGAACAGGAAAACAATGTTATTGTTATCACTGGAATAAAAAGTCTTTAAAATCAAGAATGGTTTTCTCTCTAACACTGATTAACACTGACAAATGGTGATTGACCGCATATGGGTGACCTGGGATGACCTGGAAATGACATCGTCCAATTCGCACCTTGTCGCGAACTTGTTATGGTATGTCATCTATAATCAACATTCTAAAAATCAATGTAGGCTCTGTAACAGTTAACTCCATAGTGATGAAACATATGTGTGTGTGTGTGTGTGTGTGTGTGTGTGTGTGTGTGTGTGTGTGTGTGTGTGTGTGTGTGTGTGTGTGTGTGTGTGTGTGTGTGTGCTTCCCACGGTAGAGGGCACAAGGACCAAGAATCATGCATCATGAAAGGTTTTATGAAGTATTTCAGGTAAACGTGGAATGAATAAGATACATACCCGTGTCTGTCATGAAATCCGTCAAAGCGATGTCAAGAAAAACAAACAATTGAAAGTGAGATCAAGAACAACCCATGACACTAAGGTGACCTATGATAATGAGTTCGCGACAAGGTGTGAATCCGTGACTCACTCGTCACAAAATATAGGTCAGAACATGCTTCATTAGCCACTTATTAGTAGACATTGTATGATAAATTTGACAACTCGTCAGTGAAATATTGCAGTAATAGTAACGTAACATTGTTAGGATCAGGCCTTATACTATTTTTTATTTTTATTTTGGATTTGAATGTCTGTCTGATTGTGCGTAAAATCTAAATCATACCATATCGAACACAACGATATTTACATTTTCAGAAAAGGGATTAAGAGACTAACCTTCGATCACAATATATACTGTCTGTGATTCGTAGTCCTTTGGGCACGTGTATTTTAATCAATCAATATATGTACAAAATAGATAAATCAAATTCGTTTGCATTACCCTTATTACCTACATTTTCAGTAGCACTAAAATACGTATTACACTTACGCTGATAAGTCAGTTTACGACGTTTACCGTCCTCTTGACTAATTGTGACCTGAAATGACCTGAGGGTTACAACATTCAATTCACACCTTGTCGCTAACTTGTTATTGTTGGTCACTCTTGGTAATGTTATAATTATGAGATTCCTGACAACTGAAACTAGTCGTACGTACTTCCTAATTAGGACATTTCTGTTGCTGTCAGAAAATATATAGAAAATGCCATCAAATGCAAAGCATAAAACACGGATATGTATGTGTGTGTGAGAGAGGAGGGGGGGGTATATACTGATATAATAAAATCTATTAGGAATTCTCATATGGTAAATTTACACATTATATAATATTGCCTATAGCAAATTTTATACATAGACTTAATATTATGTAACAACAATATTTTCCTCCTCATTAATCTATTCATCTAAAGGAAATGAAGAAGTCTGTTAAGCCGGTTGATGTAAATGATTGATATGAGAATGAATTAGAAATCTGACTGATAGGCCAAACGCAAGATAATAGTTGTGGGGGAATTCATGTACCTAATTTCGTTATAATTCACAAGCTAAGATGTTCTTTCCTTATCAAAATAGTACCTAAAAAAGGTCAAGAGCTACATTAAATACCCTTGGCCTAATTGCCCATAAGTGTACATTATTTCAAAAGAGTTCGCGACAAGGTGCGAAATGGTTGCTGTCACCCGAGGTCATCTCGGGTCAAGCCGTTTTCTCCTCGTCATCTATTATCGCTACAGAAGAATCAAAGGAAACAGAGCATCAAATTTCCTAATCACACAGGCGAAATATCTGAAATAATTTCATGCAATTCTGCAGAAATTATAGACTACCTTCCTCTAAATATAAGAAATCCGAGAAAAGATATACAGAATGAACTTTCGGGTTTTGTCGACCTGCCATACCTGGGAAGTGGGCGGAAGCGACCTCGTGCTCTGATTGGCTGACGTCATCCAGAGCCCAGGTATATTACCTTCCCCGATCACGGACATCGTCACACTTCTCCCAGCGTCTGTTGCATCGACAGCCAGTTTTATCAAGATGTATCCCGTCAGTGCCTTAGGAGGACCGCAGTTATCTCACTGGGTGGGCGGTGATGGCCTGAGCAGCTTCCATTCCTATCAGCAGCCAGGTTACCATTAACGCCGTCGCCTGAAGCTCACAGAGGATATTTCGCCAATGTTTCGCCTACGTCCTACAGTGGAGTCAGTGCTTTGCCTTACCATTCCCTTCAGCAGTGCTACGGCCAGCACAACGGCGTCGCGACCCCAATGCTCTCTCCTCCTCCTGAGAAGCCGGTTACGCCGCCGAAGGATGTGCAGACGCGTCCCTGGTGGAGCACGAGCGTTTCCACGACACCAACGTCACACATCCCCCACAGCTTCCGCCATCCTCAGTATGCCAGTCCAACGGTACCACCAACAGGTCAAGCAACTCCTCCGTTTCTTCAATCCCTCCCGATTGCCGTTGCGCAGGATTCCGTTTCGCACCATCCAAATGCCATCGCCTCTGCTCTCCTCAACGCGCAGTCATCCGTCAGCGTTCGGCGTTGTCGACGATGCCGTTGCCCCAACTGTCTGAATGCCCCACGAGACGGTTCAGGTGCCAAGAAGAGGGAGCACGTTTGCCACATTCCCGGGTGCGGCAAAGTGTACGGCAAAACGTCCCACCTCAAGGCTCACCTCGGTCCCATGCCGGAGAAAGCCCTTCGCGTGCCAGTGGATCTTCTGCAACAAGGCCTTCACTCGCTCCGACGAACTCCAGCGCCACCTCAGAACGCACACGGGCGAGAAACGTTTCGAGTGCGTCGAGTGCGGCAAACGTTTCATGCGCTCTGACCATCTCAACAAACACGTCAAGACCCACGAGAACCGACGCGCCCGTCTTGCTTCTGCTTCTCCTGCCGAAGGTGACGACGTCGACGTGGAACTCTGCGATGACGCCGTTGAAGACTGTGCGGAGGAACTTATCTCTGTTACGCTGCCAGACTCTCCCGTGTCTGAAGCAGAGCTGCAGGAAGCTGATATTGACGTCGAAGATTTGCTAGAGAACTCTTATCTATGTGGACAGGATAACCACTTGTCGCAATATGGCTATATGCAAAACTTCCAGATCTAAATTGCACACTAGTTAAATTTTTCTGGGTGAACCATCTATGTAAAACCCCGTGATTATATATTTACTTATTGGAATAAAAGATTCATATATAATTTTCCTATCATATACCTTGATTTAGCTATATCTATCGCATGCCCTAATAGACGAAACAGTCTTATTATTATCATTATTGTTATTATTATTATTATCATTATCATTATTATCAGTATTATCATTACCATTATCATTGTTATTATCATCATCATTATTATCATTATCTCTATCGTTATCATTATCGCTGATGTTATTATTCTAATCACATAGGAATATATATCATAAGATATAGGAATATGTAAAATATATAATAGAAATACAAAATATGAGACAATATAAATGCATATTACAGAATGTGATAGAAATATCATACAAGACATAACGGCAATATATGGTATGAGATATAATGGAAACTATAAACTATAATAAAACATACTAATAACATCCCAAATAATTTGAAAGTGTTGAAAATAACGCAGTGGCAACTCCGATGAAGGTCACAACTCGCGTCCTCATTGGCTGTCGCCTTTTCAGTCCACGTATATTACCTTCCACAGGTGAGGTTCTACATAGCCCCCAGGCTATGTAGAACCTGCTCTCGCCACAGCGGAGAACGCCCTTCGTGTGCCACTGGATCTTCTGCAACAAGGCGTTCACTCGATCCGGCGAACTTCAGCGCCATCTCAGAACGCACACCGGTGAAAAACGTTTCCAGTGTGAAGAGTGCGGAAAACGTTTCATGATCATCTGAACAAGCACGTCAAGACGCACCAGAACCGACGCGCCCGTTTGCTTCTGCTTCTCCTGCCGAAGGTGACGACGTTGACGTGGAACTGTGTGACGATGAGGAGTTTCTCTCCGTTACTCTGCCAGACTCTCCCGTGCTGAGACGGATTTTCTAGAGGATGAGATGTAACGGGGAATGATCAGATATACAGCATCAACCAGTTCTATGATTTAAGCTTTTGTAAAATATTTATAGGTGAACCTTTAAATGTACAAGTGATTTAATAAGAATAAAATGTCACATTGAAATATCTGTTTTACATTTGAAACATGATTTCTAGACTCACCTATATCAAGAGAGAGAAGTTAGAAAAACGCAGATGCATAAGATCAAAGCTTTATATGATATGAACATTTGCAAATATCCAATGATATATATATATATACATATATATATAATAATTATTAACCAGAAACGCTCATGTCTGAGTGTTTAGTGATGCGGACTTACTGAGAAAGTTATATATTTGAAAATCTAACCTGTAACTTAAAATTGTGTATACCCGGATTTATATATACCCTTTTCTATAGACAATTATGAAAAATAAATCATAATAAGAAACAAAAAGAAAAAAGAAAAACAAGAGGAAATCAAATATTAAGAAGATTGGACTCCCACTGACAATTTGTTGATTGTTGTCGCGAACTTGTTATTGTCAAACTGGTGATTGTCAGGGCAATAGTTGTTGCTAATATATATATATATATATATATATATATATATATATATATATATATATATATATATATATATATATATATATATAATACTTACAAATGTGTATAAATGGACACAAATATATGCCTACTCAAACAAATAATTGTTAATATATTTATATACATAGATATGTACATATATATAACATACGTGTTTCTGTGTGTGCATGTCACTTGCAATCTATAAGACTTTTTTCCATGTTTATTCTTGTTTAAAATTAGATTAAATCCGAAAATGAGACATTTATGTATACCGCCCACCCTCTTCACCCGCATCAGAGCTGTCTGCCCAAGGTCACTCTGCTCGACCCAGGACTGCTCTAATTACATCGGAGACTTTACAGGCTGAGAAAATCGAAACTGCGTTTAAAATGACAGGAAATCGTGTTTACTTTTCGAGGGTTGTCATTCTGCAAAGCCACCCATCCTCCATTCTCCTTGGCTCATCTCATCCTAAAAATATGAAATGCTTGTGGCTAATATGCATCAGTCATCACTATACTTCTCTGTTAGAGAATATATGAGATATTCATAACATGCAGAATTCATCTGAAGAAGCTATAAATAACATTTTCGACTGTTTACCTTTCCTATAATTATTCTCACCTTTGAGGTGGATTTATATGGTTTATCCCAAGAAGAAATCGTTCTTTATATTCTGTATTATCATGCGGGCNAGAATGAATATATGCAAAACGACTCCTTGCAATTGCGAGAGGAAAAGAATGAACAACTTATCACCTTGTTTACATTGTATCAAACATCAACTCAAGTTCTTAGAAACAAGTATCTTCTTAAAAGATGGAATGTGTATTATTAGTGATCTCATACCACGAATAATAATGTTGTAATTTCCTGCGTATTTGTTTTTAAAATTTGAAAATGTATTTCTTCCGTGGATTTGTATTTGTTTTGTAGTATCCGCCATCGTTTCGCGCAGTGCATTGTGGGTCTTTGTTTTGATTTGGAGGGGGCTGCACCTCTTGTGTTATTTTTAAGAGATTTTTTGTCGAAATTACGAAACTAAGGTATGTACTGTGAGGTTTTATAACATCACTAATTTATGCAGTTACTGTGGAAGTAAATGATTAATTGTTAATGACATGTGGAATATGGAAGAAATGAAAACGTGTTAGAAACATGTTGACATTTGAGTTTTCTTTTCATTAGTGATATTATAATTTCAGAGGCACATATTTGTCATACGGTTCTGTGAATCTTTTAAATTAGGCCTATGCTATATTGACACAGAAGATGGGACTTGAATGTTAATAATGTATGTATTTTAGGTTGAATGGCGGTAGTTATTAGTATATTGTCGATAAACATAACAATGAAGGTCTTGCAAGCTTTTGTTTATTAAGTAGTTTACTAGATTTCCTGACTATGTCTTTATATCCATTGCAATGCTTTATGTGTAATTCATCATAAACAATAGAACTGTCTTACAAAGTTTATGATCATTGGCATATTTTCCACGTTTCTTTTTCAGTCTCTTTGATTTAGCTATGTTGCACGTGTAAGTCAACATTGCAATTGCGTTACTTGTGTTTTTGGGAATATTATTTATGGCTATTTATAAATTACAAACTTTACAGGTTGAATAAACTGGTATAGCAACCTCGTGTATCACTTCCCCCGAGGACTGATTCTACACCTCAAGACACCTGACGATACAGAATGATGTTGTTTGTGTGTGTGTGTGTGTGTGTGTTGTGTGGTGTGTGTGATGTGTGTGTGTGTGTGGTGTGTGTGTGTGGTGTGTGTGTGTGTGTTGTGTGTGTTACGTGTGTGTGTGCGTACGTTATGTGTGTGCGTGCGCGTGTGTGTGTGTGTGTGTGTGTGTGTGTGTGTGTGTTGGTGTTGTGTGTGGTGTGGTGTGTGTGTTGTTGTGTGTGTGTGTGTGAGTGGACTTAAGAATGATAAAAGTTCAATATCAAATTATATAATCTTACTAAGGCAGCCAGTTTTCTTAGCTCGTAAGATTCCTCTAATGAATATCATGTTTTTCTTTTCTCTGCCTGCCTGCCTGCCCCTCTCTCTCTCTCTCTCTCTCTCTCTCTCTCTCTCTCTCTCTCTCTCTCTCTCTCTCTCGCTCTCTCTCTCTCTCTCTCTCTCTCTCTCTCTCTCTCTCTCTCTCTCTCTCTCTCTCTCTCTCTGGGGGCATGTTGTTTTGTTTTCTTATACAAAGTCGGCTGATGCCTGGTAAAAGAGCGTATATTTTCTCTTCACATAACCTGCAGGTTTACGCGTCTTTGCTTTCCTTCTTCAAGAAAATGGGAAGGCAAAGAGAGAGAGAGAGAGGAGAAGAAGAAAAAAAGCAGTGAATATAACTTTCCTTAAAAATCCTTCCCTTGTTTAGAGAGAAAACACTCATCTAATCAAACATTATTTTCGAAAGTGTTTTCTGTTGTTCCTTCCTTACCCTGCTTTCTCCCTTCTCCTCTGCCCTCCCTCCTCCCCTCCTCCTTCCCTACCATCCACCGCTCAATCCCCCCTCTTCCTCCCTCCTTCTTACTCCTCGTCCTCTTTCCTCCTCCTTCCCCTTCCTTTTTCTCCTTTCCTTCCTCCTCTTGCTCCTTTCTCCCTTCTTTTCCTCGTCGCTCCTCTCCTCTTCCTCCTTCTCCTCCCTCCTCCTCCTTCCTCCTCCTCCTCAGATCCTTACAGAGAAGCTCTCCCCCCAACCCCCCGCGCTGCCTTTAACCCCTCCCCCACCCCTCCTCCCCCATGAAACTCGACCCCCTTAACTGTCGCTAAGGATAAAGACGTTTTGAGAGATGAGAGACGTTTTATGAGAGGAAGTGAGGAGAAAGAGGGGGGGTAAAAGGGGGATGGGGATAGGTAGGGGTATTGGTATTGGGATGGTGGGGGGGGTTGGGGGTGAGGGAGGGTTCGATGGGATGTCTCAGATGCGGAGGAGGAGAGACAAAGAGGGTGAGCGGAAGAATAGGAATAGGAAAGTGAAGAGAAAGATGAAGGGAGAGAGAAGACAGTCCACCGGGGAAAAATACATACGGATAGAGATAAGACGAGGACAAAGAATGATAAAGAGAGAGAGAGAGGAAAGGAGAGGAGAGAGAGAGAGAGAGAGACAGAGACAAAGACAGACAGGACAGATTCCTGTAAAACAGAATATTCGAGGCTGTAGATAGACAAAGCAGATGCAAAAACACGAAGATGATCTGAGGGGAGGGAGAGGGAGAGGATGTTGAGGAGAGTCTGAGGGGAGGGACCGAGAGGTGGGACCGAGGGGGGGGGGGGAGAAGGGACCGAGGGAGGAGGGGTGGGCCGCGGGGGAGGAACGAAGGGGACCGACGAGGTGGGACTGAGGGTAAGGACGAGGGGGGGGAGGGGGGACGAGGGAGAGGGGATGGGACCGAGGGGAGGGTCGAGGGGAGGGAGGGCAGAAGGCAAGAAGAGGAGGCGACAGGTGGTGCTCACACTGGTCGGTGTCTTCCCGTAAT